AGTCAACTCCAGGGTGTCTGTCATCAGGCTGATACCCCGGAGCTCCTGGGCTAGCTGCTGCCGGATGTCCACTCTCAGCGCTGTCAGCAGGAAGAGAAGACGCAGGTCAAAGAACTTGACTTCATGAGGAAGGCTCCTCTCATTGTAGAGTTTGATGCGCTTTGTCAGGCCCACCACCAGCCGGGCTTCAGCTGTCAGTTCCTGTGCCCTCAGGCTGCTGAAGACAATGTTGCAGAGGCATTTGAGGGATTCTAGGATAACCTCCAAGTCTGGGACCTCTCGGATGAGCTCCTCTGAGTAATCAATGCCAGCATGCCTGGAGAGGGTCTTCAGCCCTTCCTCAGTGGTGAAAGGCTCAAGGCAGTATTTGTCCCGGGACAGGATGCGGATGCTTTCCAAGCACGTGACCTGGCAGGATGGCTGGAGCTCTCTTTCCAGGAACTTGATCAGCAACTGGGCCATTTTCTGTGTGATTGGAAACAAAGAATGCCTCACACACTGACTCTTCACAGTGCGGTCCCAGCGCAAGGTAGCATACTGTAACACCCTGCCCTGAAACATGGGAGCAACATCTAGACACAAAGCATCATCTAGACACAAGCCTTCTAACAGCTCTGATCCAGGCCATGCACAGCAGCTCTCAAAGCATTTGCCTCTGGCACTTGATGCTGACCCAAGTCAACAAGGACAACCAGCAAGAGACAAAGAACAGCTGGGGAGTGCTGAGAAGATCTAAATGGAGGACAGGAAGAGGCAGCTCCTGCTGACTAGTGAACAACTACTTATTTTAGCTTCCTCTGTGGTTAGGATGGTTTTGGCTAATATGAGTTACCTGACAGCTGCAATAAGCTAAGAAAGCAGGGCAAAAAAGTCCTTTATATCTTCACTGAGGACCAGCAGTCAATTCAACAGCAGTGGTTCAGCCACACCCAGAGCCTTAAGACCAGAGAAGCATCTGCTTTGGGTACTCCAAAAACAGACTGCTGAGGCTGAGAAGCACCAGAGAAATGCTGTGGGAGGGGAAAAGGAATTAAATGGGTTCAAAGTACGCATGATATGGTAAGAAAGGAGGGGAAAATACCTAGAAGATTCAAATAAAAAGAACCTCCCTAAATCTTAGTGCTGTCTGGAGACCTACTAGCCCAGATCCTCAGTAGGTACAGACTGACAGAGCTCCAGGAACACCAATTTACCACAGCTGAAGATCTAACCCTTGTAAAAATAACATACATGATAGCAAACATGGAAAAGTATAAGAGCAAAAGGTAAAGCTTCACACAACCCAGTGCAGCTAGGTTTTAACTACACATAGCGAAACATCACACTCCACCAGTAATCTCCTGCTTCCACATACAATCCACCACAAAACCGATCCAGATGGAAAATAACCCAGGCAGAAGAAAAACAAAGGTGTTTTTCTTAAAGCAGATCCCAGCAAACATATCCACAGTGCAGATGTGCAAAGGCATGCCCCAGCATAAGAGAAACACCATGAGTGGAAATGGCCAGGGGTATTTCTTTCCACTGAGTGCCAGATTATTCCAGCATAAAGGGTTTGTTAATAGACAGCCTTGGTCAAATCCTGCAGATGGCTCTGAGCAAAAGCACTTACCCACATGCTTCTGTGATCTTTGCCTAGCAGACTTGCACCATTTACACACACACGCAGGATCACACTTCTCATGCGTGCTGCTGAAGCTATATGCATCACCAAACCCAAAGGGATTGCTAATGTTGGAAGAATGCTGACTTTTATCCTCAATCACCACCTACTAGAACCCAACCAGGTACTTCATCAGGTTCAGGAGAAAGAAAACATCTCCTGCCCTGCAGGAGCTGCCACCTCCAAGCCTTGCCACATAAGCTCAGAGCTGCAGATTTCATTGTCCAACAAGACGCCAAAGACATGCCTACCTTCCTCTCCTCTCGCTCCTCATCATCAAAGGTGAAGCACTGAGATTTCTGTAGGGCAGAAGAGAAACAAGGTATGAGTTTAAAAAATCCACAAAACTGCCTTCCCCAGCCAGGGAATGAACATAAGCCCAGAAAGCAACAGGTCTGAAAAACACGCTGCAAACACATGCAAGCCTTCTTAAGAACAGTTCTTACCAGCACAGAGGCAGGGAATCAAAGTGGCAAGGAGTGTCAGAGGACTTAGAGAGGTCTGCAGTATTCACAGGATTTGTAACAAGCAGCACAGGCTCCTGAAGAGCCAGACACAAGGACAGTTTTCCAGCTGCTGAGAGTTTTGCTTCATTATTGCCTTCTCTGTTCAACACTGTTTATATCCAGCAACTTCAACTATATCTCACAACAAGCAGGAAACGAAACTCGTTTGAAAAGCCCAGATACAGCCCATGCTGCCAGGTCAAAGTTGTTTCCCTTCTCTTTCATCCCTGAAAAACATTTGATGAATACCCACTGCACTCTTCTGCTGGCTCAACAGTGGACACCGCATGCCACAGGCCAAAGCTATGCCCATCTGATGGACGAGTTTAATTTTATATACTGCAGCTGTGAGGTGGGTATTCAACACATTCCAAATATCCCATAACTCATAGAATAGTTTGGGTTTTAAGGGACCTTAAAGATCATCTCAATTCCAACACCTTGCCATAGGCATGAACTCCACCAGATCAGTTTGCCCAAAACCTCATTCAGACTGACCTTGAGCACCTCCAGATACTGGGTGTCCACAGCTTTGCTGGGCAAAACACCTTGACTACGCTCAGTGATACCACCAAGCTATGCCTACACTTTTTTCCCCTTGTTATTGTTTCTTTTCCTTCCTAAAAAAAAGTATCACCTCCTTGCTACTTGCAAACAAATCCTTATATTCTTCGCTCCTACAGCATCCCAAAATAGGACTGTTATTCAGCTCATGTTCTTTAAACGCAGCCAATTAGAACAGGTAAACACTCCACTCCATGCAGAGAGGAGCTTCTCCTTGCATCAGTGAATCTTCTCAAGTCAGAACGTTAGCTGGACTGATCTCCTGCACAAGGCATTTCCAGAGCTTCTTTGCAGGCTCCTGTAATATCATTTACATATATTTTCATAACACACCTGTGGGTTTGCTTTAGCTGTATTTTATTCCTGACAACCAGGAACTGACTCCATATTTAACAGTGAATTAAATATATATACACACACACCTAGAGAAGGATATAACATCAGCTTCTGCAGTAGAAAACGATGCAAGGAAGTCACTTGGTTTATCGCCAGTTTCATCTCTTCAGCCGCTCTGTTTCTTCCAGACAGGCTAGCAAAATCACTGACATTCTCACAAGTTTCCTACGCTTGATACGCTGACAAAGAAACCAGCTGGAGGAATTCAGAGCATTGGTTTTGATGTCTCAACATGGTTGCACAACAAATGCCATTTGCTATCCTAATTTCTCCAGCATGCCAGCTGCTGCCAGCAATGCTAATCCCGCAGACCATCCTTTTAACAGGGACCCCCCGTCCTTAGCTAAGACCCCTCCTGTTTCAAAACTGGCTGCTGAAAATAGAAGTGTTCTTCCGCTCTTGCACACTCTTGTAAAATATTCACAGGTTTTCCCCACCAGCTTCCCTCCTACTTCGGAATGGTGCAGAATGAGTCACAGATTTGCAGGGCCAGCTCTAGCCTGGTGGAAATCCTCTGAAGGAAATTTCCCTGGCAGACAGTTTCAAAAGGGAACTACCCCTGCAGATGATCTTTGCCACTGTAAGGCTAGAGTCACTTGCATTTCAGCTTCCCAACCCAGTCTTTTTCATATATTACACTCATTATTTCATGTGTCAGCTTTCATATCGGGCACCTGAATCCAATTCCAGCCTCCATTCACACCAGTTTCTAATGATCTTTCACTTACAAATCACAACAATTCCACCTGCAGCTCCTCCCTAGGTGTGAGTTTTATAACCTCCAAACCTCGCCCAACATCAAGGCTCCTCCTACTTACTCTTCATGCCCACGATTATTTCCCCACAGGGTTTAACTTGCGATCTGGATAATAAAGAAAATCCTTCCCATGTGCTTTTCTTCCAGCATAAACAAAATAAAGGGAGGCTGCTTAGCTGCTTTCTAGCAAAGCATCAAGCAAGAAGCAGCCTGCAAGTAATAAGACAAAGCAGTCTGTGACATCTCCAGGGAAGTAATACAGAGACAGATACTCAGAGGAGACAAACTGGGGACAGCTGGGTAGCACTGTAATCCCATAACAAGGCCAACCTGCTTCCAGGTTTGCCAACAGAAGCAGGTGACATCAGGCTGAGGTGTGATGCTCACTCACCTCCTGGTTGTAGATCTGAAGCACCTTGAGGACCGCATCTTGCTCCCCGCTTTCCACCGTGGTCAACACAGTCCTGAGCTCCATTATATCGACAGCTCACCTACAGAGGAAGGGGAAGCAGAGAGGCTTCCAGGGCTCCTGGATAACGGTGGTGCAAAGGGATCTAGATCCAGAGAGCTGAGAGGGAGTGAGAAAGGGGTGGGGAAAAGGAGGAGGAAAAGAAATAAAAATCAAGTGAGACAGTTCACTATTACATCCATAAAGCAGAGCAGATGAGTGAGCCACGTACGGCCAGCCTCCTCTCTGTCCCTCTAATCCTCTTCTTCCCCTTTGCTTTCCGACGTTTAATGCATGCCCTCCCAACACAGTGCTGGGACAGCCCCCCCCTCCCTGCCCGAGGATTACCGCAGCAGATCACAGCGCTCCCCGAAATAGCTCCCTGCTCCTCCTCCCTGGCCTGCCCTGACTCCTGTCACCGCGCAGAGCAGCTACAAAAACAAGCAAACCCAGAAACATCCCTGGGGAGCGAGCAGAGCTGAGGAGGACAGGCAGCCAGGCGGCGGACGGCCTGAGGCGGTTGGGGGGGGGGGAGCGAGAGGAAGCACCGTTACCTGCCTGTCCCCGGCGCCCTGCCGCATCTCCTGCGCTCGGGGTCCCACTAACCACAAGGGCACGCGGCGCTATCACACAGCCCCGCTACCCAAGGGGAAGGCGGGGGCCCGGCGGCCATTTTGCGGAGGCTGGGCTCCTCCTGCCGGGCGGGGCTTCCTCCCGCCATGCGGGTGCCATGGCGGACTGGGGGCGAGGTGAGGGGAAGGCCGCCAGCGGCGCGCTGGGCCGAGGGGCCGCCAAACGGTGCCGAGGGGGCGCCCCGCAGCCATCTTGGGCAGTGCGCCAAGCGCGCCGCGTGGATGTGCGGTGCACCGCGTCAGGCTGATGAGACGCATCTTTTTTCTCCTCAGGGCAGAATGCGGTTGCCATGGAAGACATGCTGGACGTGGAAAACAAGCGCATGGCAGACAGCCTGGCCAGCAAAGTTACCAGGCTGAAGTCGGTGAGTTGCTGGCGCTGTGATGAAGGAAGGGCGGTTATTGCGGTTATTGCTGTTGTACACTTAGAGGGTCTCTCGGGCAACACTAATGTGTGGTCGGTAGGCTTCCTCCGTCTTAACGGCCCTCAGAGAGCCCTGTGGTCATGCGATGGCATGACTTGTGCCAGTAGGAGGCAGTTCTGAATCTTTGGTCCATCATCTTGTAGGAAATATCCGAATAATTTTCTAGAACGGTATCTCTGATAAAGCAGATTTTATTCGCAGTTGTGATGGCGGGCGTCTTCCAAGCAGGAGAGCACCCAGAAAACAGAGTTACATCTTTTACTCCCTATTCCCCGACGCTTATCTCCTTCTCCTAGTTCCTCATTGGCTGAGTACTTTAGGTTCACAATCTTCTCGACGCTTCACTAAACATGGAAACACTGGACAAACAGAATTTTTTGCTGCATAAGCATAAATCTGTGTTAATTAATAAACTTATTCCACACCTGATCATTATTTTGCAGATATGTGCTTGTCCTCCTTCTTCTACAAAGATAAGCTCGGAAGAAAGACAGAGGAGTATCCTGGTGCCTGCCTGTCACGCCCCAACCTCCTCACGGAATGAGACAGTTTGGCCTTGTGTAGAGGCCCGAATTTCTTTGATGTTTGTTAAATCTGTCTTTCTTTTGCTGGGAGTTTCTTATCCTAGCAGAACAACTCTACAGTATGTTTTCTAATCCCGAACACTGTACTTGCATTGTTTGGAACATTTAACAACTATTACAGTTTTGCAAGAAAGAATTAATCACATAATTCAGTAATAATGTTTCTAAAACATGCCACTAACATATATAGTATTTTACTTCTTAGATCAACTATTTCTAAGGATGAGTTACAGAATTCAAATGCATTATGTTCTACTTCTTCAAACCAATTGCTCTTTTTAATATCAAATGCAGAAACAACATTCCATTCCCACAATCTGTTGGCAGCATTTCAGGAAGGAGTTTTCATATGTCTGACATATGAAAATTTCTGCCAGTTTGCCAAGCTTTATTTCCACAGCTGAAGAATTCTGATAGCCTGAAACTGCAGTAGGAACCTGTTTTGTGGCTGTGCTTAACAGACCTTCTTTTTGTGTGGCAGATGAAGAGCAAGCCACTGCATCCTCTAACGTGTGTTTCAGGTTTTACAAGCATTTAGATGCATTCTAGGTTGTCTTTGTGTTCGAAGTTCATTAATGTCAGTGTTCTCTCTTATGCTCTGTAGCTGGCTCTGGATATTGATAAAGACACTGATGAACAAAACCGATACCTGGACGGCATGGTAAGGAACCAAAAACAGTGTAAAAAGCATGAATTTCAGTGTTGAAACCAGTTTGGTCAAAGGTGGGAACTCAGCTTGGAAGTTTAATAGCACTGTACACTGATGGTGTTGGAGTAACTGAAATGGGTATTTGTTCAGCCCAGAAATTAGAAGAGTGGAAAGCCGGAATAAGAGGTGTAAAGGCAAGAGATCTTAAAGGAGAAGCCCTGAATCAGTATGCAGTTGTGCTTCTGTTAGAGAGAAGATTTTGAGATGTTTCAGGGGAAACATGAGCAAAAACTGGGAGGTAGTTTATGAGTAAGGAAAACAAACAAGGAGTCAAAATGATAACGAACTGCATTGATCTGAGACCTGTTTGCTACCACCTGGTGGTGGTACAGATGTATGCTGCCGCATGCTGAAAAGGGAACTAATGGAAAGAAACTGCATGATTTTGGTGCTTTTTAGCCTGACCTGGCATGCATTAACAGTGCTAGCTTTATGTAGAGACATTTCCTTTGTATTGGTATTGTGCCATTGCCATGAGCACAGGCAGGGAAGTTCCTCCTGAGAGAGACATGATAGATACAGAGATACAGGCAGTTATTGTGTAGCTCCTGCTGCAATTGTTTTTTAAGCAGGAAGCAGGACTCTTCATGGGCTGCTTCTCCAGTTTAGAATGCCCCTTTTTGTGTTTTCTTTCTCCTCCAGGATTCAGATTTTATGAGTGTGACTGGCCTGCTGACTGGTAGTGTGAAGCGTTTCACCACCATGACACGGTCCGGGAGGGAGAACCGCAAGTTACTCTGCTTTGTTTCTATAGGACTGATTGTTGTTTTCTTCATCCTCTACTATCTTGTGTCCAAAGTGGGGACTTGATCATGGTTCTTGTGCAGCAGTTTTACTGAACTAAAATTATGTGATTGACAGACTTGTTCAGCGCCTTTCTAGGTCTGCCGTGCTTCGGGATCTTTGGGACTTCCCAACAGACATTCCAAATAACTTTTCACCAGCGTTTTGTCACTGTTCTGGCTGGTCTTGGAGATAAAATGAGTATTCCAGTGACAGCACACCCACGAGGCAGCTCCAGATGAGGTCCCTATGCCCACACAGTGACAGTTGTGGGTCACAGAATGACCACAGAGCACAGGCATCTGCCCTCAAAACCTCCAGCCTCATATGTACCAGCACCAGCTCCTGGAGCTGGGCCAGCACCTGCACCAACCCCCCTCTTCATCCACCTGGTGGATGCTCAATACACTCCAACACCTCCAGCAGCAGTATCACCTTCTCCATGTCCACTGAGAACTTGGCCAACAATTCATGAGTGGTGCCAAGCAATGGCTGAGACACGTGTTCATCCATCTGTACTTTATGCTGCAGCTTCTGGGGTTATTTCCATCCTGGGGGGGGGTTGTCCCTGTGTCACCCATGTGGTGGTGATGGCCAACAGCTCCAGAAGGGCCTTCTGGCAGTCAGTGAGGGCATCCCACAGCAGCATGGTACTGACCCTGTCCCACTCATGCAGCCGCTTTCTGGTGCAGTCCCATAAGCTGTCCACCAGGAACATGGCATGCTTGTGGAGCTCGTTGCAGAGGAAGAAATGCCACAACAGGCAGACAAACAGGCAGTTGTCACTGTCACGTAGTAATGCCATGTCACTGTCACAATGGGGGTCCCACAAGCTGTGGTACAGTAACAGTCTGGTGGCAACGCGGTGAGTGCCAAACACCACCAGGTACACCTGGTGACAGTCGGTCATAGAGACTGCCTCTGGGAGAATTCCTTGATCAACAGCCCAGCAAACTCCACCCCCACCTCTGAGTCCTTATCCAGCACCACGGCCAACAGGCAGCCTTTGGATCACCCAGTGAACAGCTCCATCTCAGCAGCCATGTTCCACAGCACCTACAGATCCTGCAGTGCCCGGACACAGTGTGGCTGCACCTCCGCCTGCTTGTCATATAGGGTCCACCCCAAGTACTTGAGGTGTCCAGTGGTGAGGACTGATGCTGGGAAGCGCTGCATCCACGTCCTCAACTCCTCCATGAGTCCACCGAGCAGAAAACCACTGTACAGGACACTGACTGCACCACAGGGCCACTGCCATAACCAGGTCCCCTAAAGGGACCCAGAAGCAGCATCAGGGCTGTATCTGCAGGGACAGCAAGTACTTGGACAAGTGCTCCTGGAAGAGGTCCGTCAGTCACTGGATGATGTTGGTGTTGTCAATCTCCCACAGCATTGCTCTGTCACCATCCCTTGGCAGCTGCAGGAATATGGTGGTGTGGTTGTGCTTGTAGCCCTCCAGCCACTCATCAGCCACCGTCTGGACAGCTACCTGCCCTGCAATGACCACTTCATACTAAAAGGATTTCCACATATCACATGGTTTTGATGTTCATGCCTTTATCTCTTGCCTCGTTACTTATGTCTTGCAGCCAATTCTTAAGGGATACTTTTGTCTTATCTCTGTTACTGATAGTTGGCAAATCTTACAAATCCAGACATTTGTCAATACAAGTTTAATAAATCAGCAGAGCTTTGAAAGCTGCAAAGTTTAGGGTGATGATTATAAATCTTTGGAATTATGAATGTGCAGTGTAGTCCAGTGTGGCCACTAAGCTCTTAGACATAAGGAAAAACTTTTACTCTCAGAGAGTAGTCAGGCACTGGAATGGCCTGCCCAGGGAGGTGGTAAAGGTGCTGTCCCTGGCAGTGTTCAAGAGGCATCTAGACGAGGAGCTATGAGATCTTGTGTAGTGGCTTGTAGCAATGATAATAGGAGGATGGTTGGACTAGGTGATCTTGTAGGTCCTTTCCAACCTTTTGATTCTATGATTCTTGTGCTTGGTCTCAGTTTCCTGTTGAGTTGGAGACCTGCTAATATCCTTGGTGTCACAGTGTTGAAATTCAATCTGTAGTTTTGAAATGAAGTTAGCATTAGATATTAACCCTGATACTCTCTGATGGTTTCAGCAAAGAGTTGCTGAGGAGCACAACTTTGATTACTCGCTTGGTCTTCTTTATCATCCATCTAGGTAAAGTTTTGAATGGACCCAGCAGGAAGGGTTGGGTCAAAGTCCACAAACTGCCTTGATTTGCACACATATAGTGCAAAAGATTTTAAGAGGACAGAAGAGAAAGCTAATTACAGCCTTGTTACAGTTAATTTCAGGTATTAGAGCACCCTGCTATTAAAGCACTTTGGAAAGTGTGGAAAGTTTGGAAAGTCAAGTAAAACTTCTACACCATGCTGTTCGGGTGATGCTGGAGAGGTCAAGGAAAGATTCAGTCAGAAGGCTAAGGGATTTACTTATTCATATAGGAGGCAACCTAAGAAACAATTAACTTGATTTGCAGATCCCTGTCTGCAGTGCTGGTGTCAGACATGTGGCAAAGCACACCCCAACCAGTTCGGTTTACAAAACAGGTGTTCCCCACAACTGTGCAGTGCAGTGTGGTAGCTGGAAAATAAAAGTTCCCTTCCCCTTTTTGTCTTTGCACATCAGAGCTGATCAGCATCTCACTTGTGTTACACCCTAGCTGTGTTCTTTCATAGCTGAATTATTCAAGACTGCCTCTAATTCCAGTAAGAGATTTGTAACTTTAAAAACACTATGCCTGTTTGGGGAAAGACAAAAAACAAAAAGCTCTTTCTCACACCAGACAAACCTCCACTGCAGAAGCCTCCTGCTCTGACTCTACAAAGCGGCTGTACAAAGGCACTATGTTTTATCTCGTCTGTTTTCTGTACCAAATACTTGTATGTACTGGTTTTCCCTGCTCCAAGTCTCTGCTTATTTGGCTTTCTTGTCCTCCAGTAACCTCTGTAGAACTGACACATTTCCCCTCCTGTTTCAGTTTTCCTCCTCTCTAACAAGCCTATATTCATCAATGGCTGCAAGTTTCCTTTGGCTTTGGACTAATCCAGGTCCAGATGGAAATAGACAGTGTTGTCCTTTGTTCAGCTATGCCAAAACACTAAGTCCTACTGTAGCTGGATTAGGTGTCTTTTTTTTCCAAGCTTGGGAAAGGATGTGCAGGGAAGGTGGGTAGAAAAGGAGGCAGCAGTGACTCATTTGGTTCTTACTACTGCTTCCGTTAAATGTGGCAGCTCCCAACTCTTGTCCATTCTGAAGCTGATAACTTATTATGAAGTGCCACCAGAACAGTCTGATCTTCACGACAGTGGCAGTTTCAATTTGCTTTAGCTTTTGTAAATAAAACACTGGGTTTAGACTGTTTTTCCTTTGTTTTTTTTCTTTTGCTCATGTGTTTGCTAGGCTGCATATCAAGATAATAGCATTCTGTTCTTAAACTGTACAGAACTCAGTCATGCTTTTCCTGTAGAAAGTGCACTATATATATGTATATATATACACACACACACATATATACACACATACTAAATCCTTAATATTAACCTTAACTTGAAAAGCTGAACATGAAGATTCTTGAATCCAAACTGAATTATCCCTGCCACAGCAGGATAAAGCAAGAATTCGCATGAAGCTTGAGCTGTTTTTTGAAATACTGTTTTCTAGCACCATCTAATGGTAACCCTCTCAACTGTTATGTTAATGTGTTATACACAGAATAACTTCAAATTTTCTTAAGTATTAATGCAATTAACACACTACTTAAAGATGTACAACATTTTCTAGTCAGAACGGAGAGTTAGCGCAGTGCCAGTCTAGCTCCCTGCTTCAACAGAGCTAGCACAGTGATTGCAGGCTGGCTGAGGCATGCAGGTGCAGCTCTGAACATGTCAGCAAAGGCCTACCAGGGGAGAAAAGTGCGAGGCGCTGTCCTTTTCCCTCCTGTCCTGCACTCAGAAGCCTGTAATTATTTCTCCACGATTTCAAATTGGTGGCTTGGGAAGGAGGAGGGAATGCAATGAGAGACATTCTCAAGTTTCCTCTCATTAATCAAGAACAGAAGTGAGAAGTTTTGAAATGTCAGATCTTCAACTGCTAAAACTGGGTCACAAAGCAGCAACCACAGCTAAGAGCTCTACAAAACACTCTCTTACCTTGATTTTCACTTATCACATTTTCAACCTTGCGTCACTAAAAGATGTGTTTTGTTGCTGGTGGTAACTACTACGCAGGATGCAATGGTGCGCAGAGGGTGCTTGTACAAGTTTGCCAGGAGGAAACAGGTATTTGCATGAGGCACTGGGTGCTCACATGAGGGGCTGGGTATGCCCTTGTCCCCCTGTTACCTAGCAGGAACTCAGGTGTTCAAGTGCTCCCTGCACCCAGAGAGTTCCCACCCCCAGGCATCCAGGCACAGAGACAAAGCTTAACTTGCATGCATTTTATTTATTGTCCTCAACTGTGACACATGGGCTGCATGCAGCATGTCCCACGTGTAGGGGGATGTTACCAAAGAAGTGGAATGAAGTGGCATGTCACTGGGGCTGGGGGAGTAACACATGGGGTTGGCATCACTGGGGTGGGAAGAGACTGTGAGGTGTTATTGGGGCTGGAAGGGAACATGGGGTGACCTTACAGGTGTGAGGGTGTGATATGTCTGTATATGTCATTGTGGGAACACATGGAGTGTCCTTAAATACATGAGGTCACACAGATGGCTCCTGTGCCCCCTCACCTGTGCATCAACCCATGTCCCCAGGTGCCCTCAGGTCCTACCCACGCTCACAAATGAGCTCAACAACGCTGTGCTCCATAGGGACAGGGTCAAGGCAGCGGTGGGCAGCACTGGCAGCCACCTCATCCAGCAGCCCCTGCACCACACGCTCATCAGCAGCAAAGCGCCAGAGATAGAGCTGTAGGTAGTGGCCGTCTACCTGCACCTGCTGCAGCCCAAAGCGCCCCAGAGTTCGCAGCCGCACGCACTCCAGCAGTGTCTTCAGGCTGATCTTGATTATCCCTGTCAGCACTGACACCTGGGACATGGGGACAAGTGGCATCAGGGGATGCCCAACAAAGGGTGGCCTTGCACCACATCTACTTGGGGATAGTAAGAATTAGGAGACAACCCTCATCCTGGTCATCAGCCCCCAGGGATGTCCTGAGTTCTGACACATGGGAGGTCAGGGATGCCCTGTTGGGGATGGACCAGTCCCACTAACAGGGGCATGGGGACTCCCTCATCCTGGACCACATCCCAGGGACCTCCCTCGAGTCCAGACATGCTTGTCCTGGTCTAGGGAACCCCAGAACTTGAGACACAAGGTCACCAGGGGCATGTGACAGGTAGGAAGGCAGACAGCTTTGGGGCCTTTGGATGTGGGGTCAAGAGCTGCCCTTGGGGACACTGACGTGTTCCCATGCCTCACCTTGTTGAACTCAACAGGGCTGAAGATGTCAATGCGTTCAGAGAAGAGCTTCTGGATGTTGCTGAGCAGGTGGGTGTCCATGGGAGCGCTGAGGATGGTGAAAGCAGCACGATCAGAGATGCAGAGACAGTCAGAGGATAAGGGGACGATATGTGGGAAAATCAGGGAATGCAGGGATTGTCAGGGAACAAGGGAAGGAGGCAGAGAACACAAAGATTGTCAGGGGATACCAAGACAGATGGGCTATGAGGACAGTTTGGGTACACAAAAACAGTAGAAAATGGGGATGGGCAGCAGATGTGGGGACAGTCAGGGAACATGGAGAGAGTCACAGGACATAGACATGGGGCACATGGGAATCATCAGGGGATGCTAGGACTGTTTGGAGACATGGGAACAGAAGGGAAGACGGAAACAGCTGGGGAAGTTGGGAATAAACAAGGGATATTTGGACTATTTGGGGATGCAGGGACAGCCAGAGGAGGTGGGTGGATATCGAGACAGTTTGGGATGTGAAGATGACCACAGGGACATGGGGACAATAGGGGAAAGTTGGAATATTTGGAGATGTCCCAACGACATATTTCCAAAGACAGTTGGGAAGACATGGGGATGGTCATGGATGTGGGGACAAAGGTGTGACCCAGGGTAACTGGGGAGTAACCAAGAGGTGGCCTGGGGCACAGAGCTGACCTGGGAGTGTAGCTGGGGGCATAGCGTCCCGGTGCCCGTGAGCTGCTGTACACAGAGAAGGCACGTCGGCTCGAGTCACTGCTCTGTGCCCGCCGCACTCCCTCCTCAAGGAGCTGCCCCACCTGCAACATCACATCACTCAGTATTTTTCAAATTCACCCAAAATATCTTGAGGTTCCCAAAACCAACCAGGATCCCTCAAAACCCTCTGAAACCTCCTAGTCCCCCTGGGATCCTTCCAAACCCCTCCAGATCCCCTTAAAATCATTAAGGATCTTATTGGGACCATAGGGATCCTCTCTAGACCTTCCATGGATGTCAGCCTCTCCCCAGCAGGGACCCTCTGAAACTCGAAAACCCTCCCAGGAACATTTGGGACATTCTGGGGACACCAGACTTAGGGACACCAAGGGAGACTCCCCAGGGACTCAGTGTTGCCCTGACCTGGACGTCGATGGCAGTGATGTCCTCAACCACACGCTTCATGACAGCACGGACATTGCGGGGCTCAACTGTGCCCAACCAGTCCCGTGTCTCCACGCTCTTCCGCAGCATCTGTGACACCGCAGCACCCTGGACCTGTACGTAGTGGTCGAGCAGCCACTGCGCCGCTCCCCGTGCCTCAGCACACAGCGCTGGCCCTGGCGTCACCGCTGGCCCTGTGTCCTGGAGGAACAAAGGATGCTTTCCAGGCTGCTGCATATGCTGCTGTGTCACTGTTGTCTTCATGTTCTTGTAGCATTTGGAGGAACTTGGGGACATGCATTTCCCCACTGCCTCCTGGGAACATTCTGTGCTGCCCTTTGGGACACCTGGGGGACACTTCCGCATCCATGTGCAGAGGAGGGACCACATTCTGGATGCAGACGGAAACACAGAGGGACACAGGGAGGATCCCCTTGAGGACATCTGGGGTCCCCTACCACATCATGGACAGACACTGGGACACTCACGAACTCAGGGCCACAGTGTCACATCTGGGAACAGTCAGGGTCCCCTCTTACCCATTCTGGGGCCAACAGGGGACAGCTGGGGGGCTTACCTCGGGAGGGAACTGTTCATCAGTAAGAGTGAGGATGTAGCTGATAGTGGTGGCTTCATAGTCAAGACATAGACGAGCAAGGAGCAGCAGCAGTGCTGGGGGTGCTGCAGGGGCACCTCGCTCAGCTGGACTGTCAGCAAAGCCCCGAGCAGTACGGCAAAGCCAACGCACGAAGGCCACCACCAGCCCTTCACGCACCGCCTCGACACAGAACTCCCCCTGTGATCAAAAATGGGAGGGTTACAATCCCCAAAATACCACATTCTCACCCCAAAAAGCTATTACTGCACCATTAAAAGCTTCATTTGCACCCCACAGAACTGCCTCTGGGCACTGACATCACACTCATGTAACCATACAGATATGACCGTGACCAAAACCAGAGGGTTTTGCCCCCAAAATACCACCCTGAGACCATCAAAAAGCTCCCCTGCATCCCCAAAAATGCATTTGGAGCTCAGTGTCTCCTCCATAGTCCCTAACAGCCCCTTGCACACTTCCCAACTGTCCCCCAGTATGAGCTCTGCAACTTCAAATCCATTCTGCGCAAGCTCCAGTCTGCCCAATGACCTTTAAAGAGCTCCAATGAAGCCAAATCTGCCCTCTGCAACGCATAACCTGACCCATGCAATCCCCAAACCACCCCCAAATCATCCCAGTGACTCCCAAGCTCACCTTGAAATAGGGCAGGCTGGCAAAGGCAACATCCCTGGCAGTGAAGAGCTGCACGTAGGCCAGGACAGCCTTGAGCTGACCAAGAACAGAGGAAGAGAGCGTGGCCAAGAGGTCAGGCAATCCAGGGCCATCCTTGCCAGGAGGCCGGGGTGCAGCCAGTGCCTGGCGCACATCACCCAGGCACCCCAGAAAGAAGGTCTGCAGTGCCCGCAGATAGCGGGCCACCCGCTCACGCGCTGCTCGGGCCACCAGTGCAGCACCTGCTTCGGCCCCGGCTGCAGGCAACAGCTCAAGGAGAGCACGGAGGCGGCGATGGAAACGGTCGAGCGCCCGTACCAACAGTGACGTGTCACCCAGACCTCGCTCCAGGGCCAGGCGTCGCTCCAGCAGCTCGAAGTAGCGGGTGGTGAGGGTGGAGGCAAAGGCCTCCAGGCGGCCATCCCTGGCCCCGGGGCACCCATCAAAGAGGCTGCGGTATGAGGCTGCAAGGAGGCACAGGTTGCTCACAAAGGCTGAGCTGCCACGGTCAACAAAGTCAAGGATGTCGGAGGCAGGAGGTGGTGTGGAAGCAGTGCCAGAGGGGTCAGACAGGGGCAACTCAGCCTCCAGCGCTGCCAGCTCAGCCTCAAGGCGGGCACCAGCCTGGCTCAGGAACTCCTCACACAGCTCCTCGGGTGGTTCCTCCAGCTGCAGCAGCATCTCCACACACTCAGTGAGTTCCTTTGGTTCCAAGGTGTCATCCCTGGAGGGAGGGAGGAATGAAGGGGTTAGCTGGGAGTGGTAGAAGGTTTAAAGGGTTAATGGTGGCAAAGCAAAAAAGCAATCAGGGTCATCAGTAGGCTTCAGGGTTAACAATAATTATTGAATAACAAAGAAGAAAAAATTACTTAATATCATCTGTATATTCCACAGCTAACAGCAGTAATAGTGATTAAAATCATTATTCCAGTATTCACAATAACTCAAATAGTAGTCAAAAAGAAACTACAACTGTTAGGAAGTTTCCTGAGTTAGTTCCATACCACAAACATGAGAAAAAAATACATATACCATAATTTTGTAAAAGTTCTCAGTACTCTTCAGAATTAGCCCTGTATTCTATGAATATTCTGCAGCATGGATGGTTCCTGGAATTTTTAGCTTCCAGAGTGAATACTCCCCAAGAACATCTATTTCCCAGAGCTGTCATCAGTAGGTTCCAGAGTGAACACATTAAAAAACGAATGAACAAACGAAAAAAACCACCCACAACATTTCCTGGAGCTGCTATCAGTCAGCTCCACAATGAATATACCGGAGGCGTGCACGGAGGCGCTGGGCCAGCTCAGCCATGATGGAGTGGCTCTCATCCTCGATGGCACGGAAGGAGGGCAGGTGGCGGTAGTGGCGCAGTACAGCACGGGCACGGGCGTAGCAGTGCAGGGCTCGTGCAGGATCAGCTCCTAGTGCTGCCCACCGCCGCAGCCGCCCTGGTACCTCCACAAGGGATTGCAGCTTCCGCAGCAGTGCCTGCACCCCTGGAGGAGTGTTAGGGGTGCAGTTAGGGCTGGGGCCAGCATCAGAGGAGCTAATGAAAGAGTGGGACCGGGAGCCTGATCTGCCCGCTGGGGATTCCCCTAACCTTCAGATCTGCCCCTTGGTACCCAACACCCTTGCCCTCACCTCACCCCAAACCACCTGCCTAATAACCCCACATCTACCCTTACTGAATCCATAATTCCCAGATCTTCCCCACTCACTGTTACCTGCCTCCCCCCTGACTAAACATGCACCTTAGGGTTCCCTAACACTCTGTTATTTGTATCTCTAAAGACCAGACCTGTCACCACCCCCCAAACTGGCTCCATTTGACATCCCAGCCCTCCTCAGTCTATCCCTAAAGTTCCCTCAACTCCATGATTAATTTCCTCAAGCCCAAGATCCAACTCCAAGGCACCTCCAAAGCTCAAAATCTTTTCCCTTAACCTCCAGACCTGATCTCAACTTCCGGATCTGAGCCTCCAAACCTCCATATCTGTCCCTCCAATCCCCCAGATCGGACTTCTACATTCCTCTAACCTTAAGATCTTCATCTAGCACCACAAAACCCCAAGATCTGTCCTCTCAGAGTTCTCCACATTCAAGATCTGCCACCCCACACCCCCAGATCTGCCTTCTTAGGGTCTCTCTCACCCCATACCAGCCAGCTGAGCACCACGGCGGTGCTGGTCCTGCAACGCAGCACTGACACGGGAACTGGAGGCGCTGATGGCTGCCATGTTGGAGGCCAAATCATCCATCTCTGCCTCCATGCGCCGGAAGTCGACCTTCATCTTTCGGATAGTGTCTGGAGAGAAGAAACAAGACACATAGGTTCCTCATACTCCTGGGAACCCTCTGGTCCTCTCAACATGCATGGGTCCCTACCAGGTACTCACCTGTGGCAGAAATGAACTTGTTGTAGTTTTCGTAGAGCAGCGTTTGCATGTCACTGTCGAGAGCACGGATCTCCCGCCCCAGCGTTGCTTCACGGGACAACAACTCCCCCAGGCGACACTCACTGCGCACCTGGAGGAACAGCAATAGTGGTATAACTTTCCCCTGGCCTTGCACCCTGTTGGCCCGCCGAGAACTTCCAACAGCCTTCCTGGAATCCTCCATCCCTTCAGCCAAGCCTCTACATGTGCTTCTGTGATCCTCAAGTGTTCCTTTCCACCTCTACTTGACTTCTAGAGCCCTCCAGCTGTTCCTCCATAGCCCTAAGTACCGCCTGGGGAACTCTTAACTGCCACTCAAGCCCCTAAATGTGCCTTTGACTCCACCTCTACCAATGGAATTTGCAAATGAGCTTCCAATGGAAGCTCAGGGTCCTGCTGGAAATCCATTAGTCCCCATTAGCCACAGTACCATCCTTGTAAAAGGATCTATAAGATCCTAAGCAGTCCCTCTGGAGGAAGGTGGTCTATAGGATGCCCAAATAACCCCTTTATAGGATCCCCAACAGGGTCCTTTGAGTGGTCTGAGGGTCTTTCAGGGACCCAATGGTGACCTACTGGAGGAGTTTCCATAAGAATTCGCATCAGCAAGCGACAGGATCTTTTCCAAAGGTTTCCACAGACGATACCACAGAGACCTTCTGGTGCCCCAACAGGGCTCTGAACACAGACCTAACATCCGTGGAACTGCACACAAGGAGTTCCCTACAGGAACACCTATGGCATCCATACAAGGGTGTCTGTTAGGAGGCCTACACGAACACCTCGGAGGGGTCGACGGGGGTCCTCCAAAGGAAGCGAGGGCAGAGGGTCACGCTGGGATCAAAGGTCACCTTGGTGAGAAAAACTTCCGGGTCGAAGTGGGGCCCGTTGATATCAGCAGGGTCCGGGGGCGTCTCTGCCGCTTCTGCTGCAGACGGTCCATAATACCGCTGGAGCGGACCGTGGGGCCGCCGCCACCCACTCCCGCTTCCCGCTGCGTTCCCAGACTCGGAGCTGCCTCCAGTCTCGGTCCCGGTCCCCGCCGCTTCCACCTCCGCCATCACGCCGGCACTTCCGGTCCAGCTGACAGCTTATCCCACCCCCGACGTCACTTCCGGCGGAAGGCGCTCGTCACCACAGCAACCAGCTGCGTTCACTTGAAGAAATGAAGCATTTCCTTCTTTATTTTCCTGACAGCTTCAGGAAGAAGGAGAAATGCCGGACCGGTTACACACCTAATGTTACATACACAACAGTCGTGTAAAATGAGAGCAGAGCAAATTACCATTACAAAATGAGAAGTTTATTGCCAAGGAAAATGATTTTCCCCTCCCTGAACAGCACGTGCCAGACCTGTTTTCAGTTCTATTCTTTCAGTTGAATATTACTCAAAAATAATTTCCAAACAACCAGAATCAATCAGCATTCGCACATGTATACGATTTCACAAGAGTCCCCTACTTTTAAGTATTTTCAATTAAAGGCAATTAATTGAAGTAGCTGATGAAAATTCTCAATGAATGATTCTTTAGCTAGGCTAGGGCTGAAGTGTATTGCAGAGACAAATCAAAGAGGAGTAAAAAAGAGCTTGATTATAAATACCACTCACAATGATCATTCCAACAATTGTTTGGGTTGTCTCTCCTCATCATCACAGCACACTCCAGATTTGAATGCTGTCTGACAAATTAATCACCAATATTAAACAAGAAAGCAAATCAGTCTGTATCTTCAGCTACGGATATTCCTTCCTTTTCTTCTAGATGGGACACCTGCAAGATAAAAATGAACAGATTCAGTAGTAAAACTAAGGTGCATTTAACATCTCTGGTACTTTCATCTCCAATCAGCACAGAGCCGATTTATTAGAAACTGACAGTGAGATGCACTCTCGGGGATGTCAGAGGTGAACAGGCTCTGTCAGTTGCAGTAAAAAGAGAAATTCAAACTTTCTTCCTGCCCATCTTCTCAGCTGCCCCCAGCTGCATGCTCCCATCCATTCCTATTTTTGTGGCAGCTGGCTGATTTAATTTGGCTGACAAGGAGTAAGCATCAAAGCCATGTCAGGAGAAACAGAAAGGAAGGTAAGACCATCCTTTTCAATGACACGTGTCAGATCAGATCAGGCCAGAAACTAGAACCTTACCCATAATAAAAACTAAAAAAAAAAAAATGAACACAGGGAAATGCTTCTCACACACGTGCACACATCTTAATAAGACCAACCTTCACTCTTCTTAACACTTAAGAAATTGAGTTACTTTACATTTAGTTCATTTACTGTTATGATTAACAATATAAATGCACAAACTCAGGGAAGGCAGCCCAACAGCAACAACATGATGGCTCAGGATGGTATCCTTGCCTCTGGAAAGTCCAGTTTTATGTTCCTGCAATATAAAGGTAGGAAAATCATACTGTAATAGATGATTCATATCTTCTGCCCTCAACATCTGTTTTTGGTCATGACATGGTCACACAGACAGTCAGCTTGGCAGACACTTCTGTTTCACCAAATGTGCCTATTATTGTGGTATGATCAGTAAGCACTGGAAAAAGCAGGAAACAGATTGCAGATAACTCATCCCTGGAGATGGTCACACCAGCTTTCTTCTGAGCTAAGTTGCTGTTCAGTCAAATGATACCAGCTATTAAAACAGCAATTAATATTCTGGCTACTAGAAGCTGCTAAATTACTTGCTCTGGCCATACATCCTTATGCCAGCCATAATTCAAAACCAGAAGCTGCAGATAGTGCCACTGCAGCTCCAAGGGTTATTGTTCTAAACTGCTCAAGATTCTCTCACTGAGATGGAACACTTCGCTACGTAGAGATTAATGGCATTAGGTTTCCAAGGGCAAGTCTGATAATTCCCTGCAGGCATATCCCACCCTTGTCTTACCACTGTTCCTTCCACAACATACATAGAAGGAATTTTCCACTTTAAAAGGGTGGATAACTGAATCAACTTGATATATACATATATATGGAAACAGTTTTCCATTCATAGTGTTTTATACACACACATATATATTATATTATTATTATATATTATTATAATATTATTATATTATATATATGTGTGTATAAAACACTATAAATGGAAAACTGTTTTCCACAAATCCAACAAATTTCTCTTCTGTTAACTATCAAACCAGTTTTCCTTCATAAATGGGCATGAGGTAGCATCATTCTCCTACAAGAAAACTCAGCACTGATTGCCAAAGTAAAGGTGTTTTTTGGCAGCACAATATCATTTAGAGTTTATGCTATATTTTCATAGTCCTGTTACTATACAAAAAAAAAAAAAAAAAAAAAGACACCCTTAAGTGCAAGTTAAGTTCCAAGACCTCAATTACCAGTAATCCTAGAGTGATTAGCTGAATATATACAATAAGTAAAAACTCTGACAACATTCCCTTTCTTGATTAGGGCAAACTTGACTCATTACTGCAAGTAATTATTTTCCAGCCTTGCAGAAAGCTATCCATCATAAACAATTATCACTTCAGGTTACTGCTGCCCAAATAACAGATTATTTCCCAAGCCTGACTTGTAATTTTCAGCAGCTAATTGCAATGGATAATGCTCTTGCATGCAAAAATGTTACTACATACAAAATTGAGTTAAAGGCTAACAATATCCTAGATCTTTACAAGATCTTATTCACATTTCTTGTAAGCATTAAATTGCATTTTGGTTCAAACCTCATAAAAATATTTTACAAAACTTCCTCTTGATCTTCAGTGAAAAAGAGTTCAGAACTGTTAAAAAAAAATATGCAGACCTACAAAACAAAAATGCTGCACATGGTAGCTTTTACTCTGGATTTCAGGGTGAGGAAACACTATTACAGCATGCCTTGCATTTCACAGACAAGTTAATTAACATTTTATTATATGTATAAATATGTTCTTAAAAGCAGCTGAAGTACAAAACTGCTGGAAGGGGAGATCCACAGGAACTGAGCTTACCCCATTGAGAGAGCTTCAAATAAGAACATCTGAGAAGCTGAGAATGTTTACCTGGTTATCTATACACCTAAATTGCCAGGACCAGGTGGTGTTATAAAGGAAAGGCCTCAGGTCAAATCGGTTGTCATCCGGGCTGTAGTTTTCAGCATGGTAGGAAGGAGTGAGGGTGGTCATTTTATGCCTATTCACTGAATACATTCTGAAGAAATGCTTAACCTTTGATGCCACCTGGTGTACAAAGAATATAGCTTTCAGTCAGCCAAAATTTCTTAAAATTTACAATTTTCAATGAGAACAGCATCTTATAGACTGTATTCCAGCTTTTACACACCCACTTTCTACCACTAACAAGTACGTAAGTTACCTACCAGTACAAATCACTGTGGATGATTCCTTTAGGTAGAGGCATTTCAGACTATTTTCTGACCACCTTGGTCTCTGTGCCTAACATTTACCAACAGAGAAGTTCCCTGTGGGAAATCTAACAGTAAGCGCTAGCCTTGGAGATTCAGGTGACCACCTGAGCATTCTCCTTTATGCCAAAAAAGGGAAGACTTCCAGAATACATAATCCAAAAGCTTCAAGAGCAGTTAGCCATACACATTTCAGGAATAATTTTCTCCTGAAGGTACAGTTCTGTAGCAATTGTTTTCAGTTCCCCAATTACTGTTCTAACCATTCTAACATATAACAAACCACATTAATTTAAGAGAGCAATACAAGCTTTAACAGCGTATTCAACTACTTACAACTGTACAACATCTCTAAATATAGGAGAATAATTAAATCATCTCTTTCAAGTGAAAGGAACTTCTTTTGACCATCCTTTAAACAGTTTATTTTGGCAAAGACATTACATGATTTAATTTTTGCATTACCTCTCTTGGTGTACAAATTTCCTTCCACAAATTAATCAGCTTATAGAACATACTGTATGGTCCAGCCTTTGCAATCTTCCTTAATTTACCATAGATTGAGAGCTCTGCATATGTCATCCCCATATCTGCCTGAAATCACACATAGAAAATCACAGAAAAAAACCCTGACTATTTAAATTACAATTAGTAGTTTTATGAGCCGTTACAATAACCCAGTTTAAACAAACATACACCAAAATGAAGTTCTCAGTGCTCAAAAAGACAAACAGAAAATTAGCATTACAAGTGAAAGAAAAGAATTGGGATCTATGAAATATGAGATTTCAGAACCTTAAAGGAATACATTTTATTTGGCTAGTGAAAGCATGTCTTTCCAGAGAAAGATTTCTTCATCTTCCCTTCTGGGAGTTTAGATGTAGTATATGTCAGTACAATAATTCCTAATGAAGAAAACTGACATTTTAATTAAGCAATCCTTTATTAAAAAAAAAAAAAAAAAAAAAAGTTTTATAATATCCTGCAGGTGAATAACCTACAGCTATGATAAGTAGCTGTCAGGCTTACCAGTCCTCTCTTATGTAAGTAGATAACAAAAAAGAGGGAATGGGGAGAAAAGGCCAGGGGTTAAACACCAACCAACTTTAACAACAGCAGGGCACCAACAGGCACTTCTGAAGTTAAGTAACTCTGAAATTGCATTTTGGAAACATTTCAGAATGGCCATCTTTTTAAGTGCCCAAAATAAAAAATCATTCAAAACAAACAGAACAATCACAACAACAAACATCTGATTTGCTGTTTTAGAGACTGCTGGCAATGTAGGTAATGCTGGTGCAAGACACCAAGCCGTATCAGTGGCTTCAAGACATTTATTACACTCTTAGTGATAAGCACAGATACATAGAAAAGCAAACAGCAATTGAACAAAAAGCAAGTGTGGGGATAAAGTTTACCAGAGCATTTCTAAGTCTCTGCCTATTACCTCATCAGTTTGAGACACTTGTCCATCCACCAGGGGCTCTAGCTCTGCAGTAGGTGGAGCTGCCATAATACTGTAAGAAGAAAAACAAAATCTATCCAGTCTCATTAGTATATACAGTCTGTTTTATTAAAAATCAAATGCTTTACTCAAAACATTCAGAGGGCATAATCTGCAAAAAGAGTTACCTGCAAGCTGTCCCAGGCTTAAAAAAAGCTATGTTTGTATCAAAAACATGAAACACGTTTCCTTAATTCAGTCTGTTCAAAATGTTTCCTCAATGGAATTAGTACAAGTTCTTGCATACAGTCACTCCTAAGGCTGCTGGCATTTGCAGCCTTCAGCCATTTAGATTGGTCTTATGTAATTGCACACAATAATTTGGAAACAAAAGGATGAGCAGAAGACTTCTTTAAAAACATTTGCAATAAAAAAAGCTGTCATGAGTTTCAATAGTGCCAAGTGTCAGGTACGTCCTGCATTTTGGTCACAACAACCGCAGGCAACCCTACAGCCTTAGGGAAGGAGTGGCTGGAAAGCTGCCGGATGGAAAGGGACCTTGGTGTACTGATGGACAGTCAGCTGAACATGGGCCAGCAACGTGCCCAGGTGGGCAAGAAGGCCAACGGCATCCTGGCTTGTATCAGGAATGATGTGATGAGCAAGACTAGGGAAGTAATCCTGCCCCTGTACTTGGCACTGGTGAGGCCTCATCTCGACTACTGTGTTCAGTTTGGGGCACCTCAGTACCTCAGCACCTCCAGCACCTCAGAAAGGACACTGAGGTGCTGGAGCAGGTCCAAAGAAGGGCAGCAAGGCTTGTTAAAGGCTTGGAAAATATGCTCTATGAGGAGAGACTGAAGGAACTGGAGATGTTTAGTCTGGGGAAAAGGAGGCTGAGGGGAGACCTTATTGCTCTCTTCAAATACCTGAAAGGTGACTGCAGCGAGAACAGGTTGGTCTCTTCTCACTGGTGACAGGATGAAGGGAAATGGCCTCAGGTTGTGCCAGGATAAGTTTAAGTTGAGTATCAGGAAAATTTTCTTTACAGAAAGGGTTGTTAAGCACTGGGATAGGCTAATATGGTTAGGGTAATATGGTTAGGTTTTACTTGGACCTGATGATCTTTACGGTCTTTTCCAACCTGAGTGATTCTATGATTCTATGTTACTGCAACTCAGCTATCTTAGTGAAAAAGAAACAAACACAAACAAATCCACAAAATGCAGCATGCAAATACAGCCACCTAGCATAACTGTTTCACTACTCACCTTCTGAGGGCTGTGAGATGGAAGTTTTCAATGCAATACTGTATGAAGTTCTTCAAATCAGTCTTACTGATTCCACCAATGGGATTGATATCAGCACTTGAACAATCATACTTTGTAAAGTAACCTCGAAGACTGAGCAAAAGTTTTATATAATAATGATGTAACATCAGCACAATAACAGCTTATATTAGATAGGTCATATATATGGTATAAAACCAAGAACAGACCGCACACTGTTAGCACATGGGACAAAAAAGCATTTGGCTGAACCAGAGCTATCCTAATGCCATGGTACTGCCAGGAGGGAGATATTTTGAACAGCAAGAAAGCACTGTGAAACTGCCTAGGCTAAAGCAATATATCTAGTGCAAAATCAGTTAAGATACTGTCCTGACCCATTAAAAGCAAAAAATCCCAACTTCCCACAGAATCAATACACACTACCCTCCAACCTTTTATTATCAGTGCCACAGTGTTTATCTCCCAAAAGCTAGATCTAAATGCAGTACTCCAGATTTTTAATATCTGTCTTTTAACTCAGAGTTCACAACACAATTTTTAATAGTGTAATTGAAAATACAACAAATAACGGGCTGGAAAGCTAGCCTAGGAACTGCATGTGCAAGCTCTACTGAAACTTGCTAAAGAAATATCTGCAGTTTATTGGAAAACTACAAGAATACTTTCATCTTAAGCTTCTGAAAAGTACATAATTTTGCCATTCTAATGGTAATAGTTAAACAACCAATTTCACTGCCATCTTTTTTTTTTTTTTTTTTTTTTTAAATAAAAAAACCCCTTCTGTACATACTCTTCTAGAATTTGGGGGCATTAAGGAACAACGCTGATTTGTTCCCGGTTCACTTGGTTTTAGATTCATAGCTTTTACTAACCTTTCATCCACATTTGCTGATCCTAGTACCAGAAGCCCCCCTGGCATCCCACGAGTCCAAAGTGTCAGCTGAGCAAACAGGTAGGCAAGGACCATTCTTACTCTAGCCTACAGATTAAAATAAAACTTAATATTTAGAAGCAATATATTTTCCTAGTCATATGTAATTAGCAGTTCTCTAAACAAACCCATAAAGAACAAGATGTGAGAGGGCTAACTGTTACTGCAGGAAGACAAAGGAGGGGATGTTGAACAAACACTTGTGTAAGCCAGGTTCAACATCTGCTACTGCCACAGACTCACATGATTGGGAAAATCTATTCTATTCTGAGTTGTAAAATTGGGAGTTATTACAATTCTCAGTCTCCTACATGCACAGATAAGGATGCATGAATGATGGAACATGCAGTTAAGCCATCTAACATATCTGCCTATACAGTATTAGAAGAAACATTTTCTATTACACAAGAGCTCTAAAACTGTTTTTTTCCATCCGCACTCTAAAACTCACTTTTTCCAAGGGAAATAACACTACTCAACAGAGACATGAAATTCTATCTCTAATTCTGGCCCCAACTGTGCGTGACATCAAGCAAACTATCACACTCTTCTGATGCTAAGCCACTGTCAGAAAAGGTGATACAAGGTTCAGTGTTTGCTTATGGAGTTCTCTGATAGTAGCAGGGGAAGAAAGATCAAGTCCTTGGCTTAAAAAAACAAAAAGCACAAAAACTACCTTCTGAACCAGAGGTCTACAAATTGTAATGAGTAAGCATCACACAGAGCCTATGAAAAGCTGCTAATATTCACCAGAGGAAAGTCTGTTATATGTTAGCAATGCCTTATTCTGCCACAATCCTACTGGACTCATGACTCATCTGTCAGAATACTATACTGCTCATTTTCCTGACCTGGCAACTTTCTTTTGGAATGCTTTTCTAAAAAGCATACAGACCTATGCTAGTGATGAGATCCAGACACACACTATTTCCTCTTGACCATTCTATGACGTTTTAAAAGTCACAAGCAACAGTTACCTTGGTCTTCTCGAAGATGCACAAGACTGGAGATTTCTGTTGTAGATAAGCATTTAGTACAAAGTGATGAATCCTCAGGAACACACCACAATGAGTTTAGGTCTTCACAGCAATTCAAAAGAAGGGCCCCAGCACTACTGCTACCATTTTGTAGTACTTCAAACAAAGGGTCTGACCTGATTCAGCCTATGTGAAACACACCTGCACATTCTGCAGTGCCAGATTTTCTCTGCTGCTCCCTCCGTAGACAGAAAAACAGGGAGTTCGACCTGTCACCATGCTGAAAATTCCCACAATAGCTTTCACAGCCGCATCAATGTTCAGGTTGATGTGATAGCTGAGAAGAATTCAAGCAGAAGTGACTCAGCTAGTAAGGCCTGACTAGATAAGAAGCATCAACGTGATATAAGAAAACATAAAATGATGTTTTAAGGCTGCTCCCAACTCAGATCTGGTGGGAAAAGTTTTAGGAAAGGCTAATATTTTCCTGAGACTGTTTCCAATTTTTTTTTTTTTAAATGCTTCCCACCATGCCTCACATTCACACACTTAAATAATATCTGAAATGCTCATGTTGAACACACATACACATTGCTCTCCTTTTTTCCCTATTTTAAGTTTTGAAAGTTTTACATGCAGGGTTTTTTTTGTTTTATTTTGCCAGAACACGAGTTTTTCTATCAATTTCCAATCTCTACCTGCCTATTTGCTCAGCCAGAAGTTTAGCTCTGTTGCGAGTGTCCTGGGAGGAGTTCTCACTGGCCATATAGCAAGTGGTAAAGACAAGCTTGCAAAATTCTCTAGGATCCTCAGGGATGTAGGTCTCATCATGCACAATCTTGCGTGCATCAGCTAGCACCTCTGCATCTGAGGACAAAAGAAAAAAAATAAAATAGTAGTAGATATCGCTGTGTTCCTGCTACCCAAGGTACGGAAATACCTTGTTCGTTTCTTGTATTCCAATTAAGTTTTACATTGTCCCTCACAAGGTAACTTCATCTAACTATCAAACTCTCTTTCCAAGCATGTTAGAATATTTTCATACTAAAAAAAAAAAAAGAATTAATGAGCTTGATCCTGATTTTGAATGTGGAAATATTAAATCCCTGTGTTCTGTGCCTTAAGGAAGATCCAGAGAAATCATAATTCTATACATACAAGGGACTAGCTTAATACACATAATCTATTCAAGGCCAGGTTAAAGAGCTCGAATCATGCCCAACTATTTCACAGTGTTGAATTTAACAGGAAAAAGAAATCTCATGATGAACTGAAATGCCAAAACTACATCAGCCAACATTTTGAAAAATACTGTAGACAGAAACTGGTCTCAGTTTCACAACCAATTCTAAACCCAAAATTTAACCTATAAAGCCAAATCAAAGAACTTGAAAGCTGAACTTTTGTTTTTGCTGGAATTTCTGGAGAGATGCGAACGGTTTCCATTAAAACAATTGGGCAAAAGTTTATCATTAACTCTTGCACCTAGCTTATACTAACATGCCCTCCACCATTAACAGACATTGTTAGCAAGACATGCATATCTACTTACTTCCGTTCTTGACTGCCAAGCAAACCTGGTGGCACATAGAATATACTATGCAAGCTGTAGCAGAGCTGTCAATTCCACCGCTAAGAGGTAGAAGAAAACCTGCCTTGAAAACAAAGTGAGGAAGAAGTTTCAAAATGCAAAATTAGAAAAATGTGTGTTTTACCTCAGAAACACATTCTGGTAAACAGGCCTGAATCATGCATGAAAAAATCCCCTCCCTTATTTGATTACTACTTTCAAAGAAAGCATGACTCCTTAAGGAAGAGGTTTGAAAAGCATACTTTCCCTATTTTAAGTCTGAAAGAACTACCGGTAACTATGCACCTTAGACTAACAGCGTCACCCTGTACTAGCAGCAGCACAGGACAGGACAGCAACCTGCACTGCCTGCATACCACAGAAGAAGGTGTACATGGTAAGAACAAAAAGCAAAAAGTTTTTACCTGTTTGCTGCGCCTTAAGTAGTCCCAGAGCCAACATGCAGGACCAAGGCTGAAATCACAGAATACACTAATTTTATGAGGGTTATAGGATAAGACCTGAGCAAGTCAACTTTCAATTCTTCCAATTAGATACTTTCTTAAATATAGATAGATATTGTGTTCATCTCCATTAGTTTTAAATTCTTATAAAAATTGTTTTCAAGTAACAGATTCAATGTATTTACCAGATCTCCTCCTCAGGACTATGATGCTTCCACTGGATTGGCACACAGATAGGTACAGCTAGATCATCAGAATATGACAGAGCAAAGTTCACTTTTATCCTGGGAAAGGGATTCACTTTACTTGCCTAAGCAATAGTACAAAAGAGTCAAAAAGACAAATTTTAATGTAATGTATGCCTATAAAACTGTAGATCTATAAAATACTGTGTGGGGAAAAAAAAAAATCAAGGCACGCAAATATTTTTGAAGTAACTATTCAAACTTGGTAGAGTTTAAGAACGATGTCTGTAAAGAACTCTTACTGCCAAGTTACGAGATGAAATCTCTGCTCTGTAACTTCGAACGTCTTCCAAGTCCAGTGTGGCAACTAGCACCTCCTGAAACGTTGGGGAAGGAAAATGCACATGACTTTTTCCAATAAAGACCTTTACACTCACTTTACAAGTCACCTCTGATTCATTTTAATTACTTACACTACAAAACAAACGTAACTGCCTCAGTTCACACAGTACACTAGAATACTCCAAAAATCACAAATTAATAGCACTTTTCAGATGGCTGAAGAATGGGTTTACCATTAGTTGCAGCAAAGAACTAGAGGGAAAGTCAAGAAGCATGCTGGGGAAAGTGACCAGCATGGCACATAAAGTGAAGCCTATGGCTGCAACAGCACATCTACTGAGAAAGGAGCTTTTGAAGAAAAGATCAACCTATAGCACTCTTTGTTTACCAGCACAGGCCATAATTAGAACACTGTAATCTTCACACTTATTTGCTTAAATACATGAATATAATTAACAGTCTGTACTGTGGTGATTTCATGCACAAACATTCTCTTAGTTTTTCCATTTTGACAGCTCCTCTCTATTGGCAAAAGCAGGACAGCTACTGTAGATCTGGGCAATTCAGTTAGGAAAAACCTTTCAACTAGTTGAATAGTACAGTAAAAACATGTATTTTTTGCCTCTAAGATACAAAGCCAGTATCACTAGATACTGTATAAGTGTAAACATAGCCCTTCTAACTTCAGCTATAACTTCAGTTAATTATAGGCTGAATGGATTACCACATCGTCGAGTGAAAATTGAGATCCTTGTGCAACTATTTCTCCATTCATAGAAATCATGGCACAACCATCGTAATACAGACGATCACCATCACAACCTTTCTGGTTAGACAAAATATATATTCCACCATTCTGGGAAGAAAACAAACAAATAGAAAAACAATTTTTCTGGATATAGTGACTATAGTACCTGATAATGTTAAAAGACAAAATGTTTTTTTGCTGTTTGAGTCCTTCTCATACTCTAAGTTGTGAAAAGTTTAGAGCTTAGACTCTTTTCATTTGAAAAAGTACTTTACACGCTATACACACAATATAAATAAATAATAGCATAAGATAGTAGTAAAAAGGAGCTCTATCACTTTCTTGCTGTTGCAAGACATGTATCTTTTGTAATTAGCTGAAGAGTGATTCATGAAGCCCAAGTGGAGAAGGCTACACTTCAAAACTGAAACGCTATGTTCATACAGAGATTGAGGAAAGCAGGGAAATGATGACAGAAGCTGTGGCTGGAATATCTGAGTACAGTGCTAAATGTAACCAAAGACTGCAAAATTATGCCACAAAAAATAATCACTTGTCATAGTGCAACATATATTCAGTAATTTTTGTCCTCATCACTGACAGACATGGGGACAGTCTAGGAACAAAATGGTTTCTCTTTAAAATAAGCACAGCTTTCAACGTAGAAAAATAAGATAAATTTTATGTACAAAGATAACAAGTAATGGCTAAGGTTAAATACTGATTTCTACTTTCCCTTCCTGCTATTTCTCCAAGAAAATGTTGCCACATGAACAAAGCTCAGAAAAGAAACTGTGAATTTAAGGAAATGTAAGAACATCCAAAATTATCCTTCATATGCCAGAAAAATATCTCCATACATGGACTGAAAAAGAAGCTGGCAATGAGTTGTAACTTCAATACATAAAGCACGAGGAGGGAGACTGCTTTGGCTCACGTGAACGCGGAGAATAAGCAGAGCCACCAGTAGTTTGTTCTTTAGGCAGAATGAGCACTTAACAGCCTTCCAAACTGGTTGCTTCTCTGTATGCAGTGGATTCAACATCATTGGTTCTAAAAGCCTTTGGCATTTGGGGTCGTAGAGCTGAAAATTATTACAATGCTTCACATGAGAGCATTACACATTGTAGGACTCCTCAGAGCACAGTAGCATAGCAGCTGATTCAATCAGAGGAAGTAATTTCAGGATTAAAGAAAAAAAAAACACATCACCACCACCACCAAAGAAACTAACAAGGTCTGCCATAGCCATCAAGCTCATGGGAGAAGAGATTGTTCTGGGGAGGAAACAAATGCACAAAAAGTCCCTTTTTTTCCTCCACCTCTCCATCCTTAAATGTACCTTTGCTGTGGCTGAATTCACCAAATCCACGCGTGTATGAGCCTTCCTCAGCACATGGTGACTCCCTGAAGAGTTAGTGAAAATTTCCACACCATCAAGTCCCATTTCAATATGAGGGCTGGCAAAGTAAAAGGCAGAAAAAAAATCAGCTGGCAATCACCCTGCATTGTAGGTACCATTTAAAACCACTAACAAATATACAACTTATGTCATTGAGTTCTCTCTTTATCTTAGCTCACACAAAAAGTCACACTACGTTTGTCTGTAAACTGCCACACATGCTGCAGTCATAAGGAAATTGATTACTTGAACTAGAAGATCTGGAAAGGCTTCTGGAACATTTCATTTATCTTGTGTTAATGACAACAGTTTTCATGCAACCTTTTTTTTTTTCCCTCCTCTATCTGACCATTCTTAACAGGATTTTTTCATTGGGAAGATTTTTAAATTCTAACAGGAACTATTCAAGTAATAACAGAAAAGTTACTTAAGGGCACCAAGGCTTTCCTTCTGTTAATAACCTTCAGTTGTTTCCTTCTGCATATTCTTTATTAATCATATGATGTTGGATAAAATACAAAGTAGAACGATTAATCTAATAGATAAATAGATATATATCAAAGTGATGTAAGCCTAAGAAACGCAGGAACTTAAGCTCTAACTTGACAATTGCAACAAAGCTCTATTACCTGTGAAAATGATGAGACCTGCTACTACTCTCACATTTTTTAAATGGAATAACATGAGATTATTCTTACTGGCAGAATTGATACCCCAGAAATTAGGCTTACAGTCAAACAAAATCATGAAAGAATGGCTTAATCCACTTCTCGTTCAGGAAGAACACTGATACTGACACAAGGAGGACTTACAATCTTCCACCAGAATGAGATCTCCTTTTCTGTCCTTTGAACTTAGTACTTCTGCTGCCGATTAATGATTTTACAGGACCACAGTCTTGTTATTCTACTACTGATCAATAATTACTCACTTTCCTCAAGAACTAATCCATCCACTTGAACATATCTAATGGTAGCCTGGCAAGGATCATTACAGAGAACAAAGCCTTCATCAGGAAAATGATCTGAGCTCTCTGAATTTGGTAGGAGAAATGCAAGCTTCTCATTTATATCTATGCAATTCCAAAGGATAAGAAGACTTTCCCTGACACTTTTATGAGTGTAAGTGAACTATATACAGGCCTGTAATAGTACCTAACCAACTTATTTAAGATGAAGTAAACAAATGAAATGTTTTGATTGTAAACACAGTCCTCAGTTTCTGGTAGATCTGCCGCATTCTCCAAGCAGAAATTACAGAACAAGGCATGTAGCAGGTAACAGTGAGAAGGTTTTATATAAAAAAAGAAGCACCAATAAATTTGAACCCCTTTATTGAAAACTTACCCATGATATATTTCTTGCTTCTCATTATATTTTAACTTACTGGCACTCTGTGAAAGATACACTACATAAAGGAATATTGAGCAGATTTTTACAGAAACATTTATTTCTGGAAGATCCAAGGTATATTTCAATTTATTTTCTATTTCTTCTCCTTTACCTGTTTGGTGCCCAGAGCTCTTCACATATTTCAGTCCCTAGACAGGTATCTTTGGTTGCTAGCACCGCATCCCCAAAAGGAACGGTGTCCTGAGGAAAAAAAAAAACAACAAACAAGAACATCCTTACTCCCATGGAACGGGAGAATCTATTTCATACAATTCAAAAAATTATCTGCAAACTTAGAACAGAACTGAGTGCTCACTTCTGTGAAATGACAAACTAACAACCACAAAGTACTTTATGTTATGCCAACTTTAAGTTAAAAACAGAAAAAAAAATTCTGAACTGCAAACGTGCGAGTTATACTGACATTTCATGTTAAAACTGCAGTGCTATTCAGGTGAAGTGCTTCACTTCAGATCAGGACAGCTGCTTTTAAGTTAAATGTTCTACAAAGAGAGACCACGTAATACTGTGTAGTGTGAACCACATTTATGTTTTAGGAAGAAGCAACCTGAGGCAAATTTAAAAGTCACTTGATTTGCAACTAAATATTAATATAAGCTAAGTTAAATTAGCCTGACAACTATCACTGAAACCACTGAATTTACGACAACTGACATAAGGATTTGGTGTTCTACCACTTTATGTCACAAATGCTCTGCATTTAGAGTGCTGAATCCTAAAGTTAAAAAGAAAAGAACCCATTAAAAACTTACCTGTCCTGTCACTTCCTGAATTATCCTTGGTAGAAGATACTCCTCTACATGCCTAAGGAAGATTTATAAACTGTGAATACATAGTTATATAAATCACAATGGTGAATAAAAAAATTGCACTTCAGTTGTACAGGACTCTCTGTATATTAAAAAAAAAAAAAAAAAAAAAGACGACCTTCATATTTTCCAGGAAGGTTTCAGAAATGCATCGTAAACAATGAGAAAACAAGATTTAAAAAGTTTTTGTAACTGTGCTAGGTTGCCTATTTCTGGCTTCTTTCTATTTGTATCTGTATTTTCCAGTGAATAGTTAGCTGTTCAAACAAAAAGTCTTCAAGCAAAAGCTAAAGCTTGAGATAGACTTCTTCAGTGGGAAACCTTTTTGGGAGATATCCTAATTTTACAGAGAAATAAGCATGAACAAAGCTTAAGGTGAATGAACAGAAATAATTATATCACCCTTCCAAGAGTTAAGTGGCAGTGACAATAACCTCTGCACAGCTTTCATGCTTGCTCCCTTCTAGTTCTTAACTAGACTCAACAAAGAACAGACAAATTTCAAATATCCAATAAAAGTTTATCTTTCTGAAGTGCTTCTACATGAGTAACTGTGAACTTATCCAGAACTGACTGCTATTTAAGAGAACAGATTCCCAGAAACTCCATTCCTTGACTACAGAATGAGCAAGCAGCATCAGAGGTGTGCATCAAGCATATTTTGCTACATAGTTAGGTACGGGACAACAATCCTCCACAATCATGATATTCTAACTGAGCTTACCCATTTCACACTGTTTCCCAGCTCAATACTGGACAGCATGCAGCAATTAAGAAGATAAACAAGAATAATGGGCTCCTCCAATCCCAAACTGCACCAAGTTAGAAAGCATGCAAAAGGGAAGCGATGGCACTACACACGGCAAGAACATTTAGCCAAGCTTATTAGTTCAGAGTTTGATTACATTTAATAAGCTCAACTGAACTGTAATTATTTGCAGCTCTATAGATTCTGTCTTCCTGTTCTCCATGCAGCTGCACTGACACACTGCGATAGAGATTTCCTTCCTTCTGCTGCAGATGCAAGTGAAAAGCTGTGCTTTTTAAACACAATTTAACAGTAGCCAGCCTACCTTGCTTTGTTCCATGGGGTAAACCACCGAAGTTCTCTATAGTTTCCTGTATTTGCCAATGATAATTTCGGTCTAATTAAAAGAATTTTTCTTGAAACAAAAAATAAAACAGAAAGGGTGAATTAAGACCTGATGTGAAGATAAATAAGACAAGAATAAGAACAGTGACAAAAATTGAGTCACTCATTTTTTTTCTACTGTGACATAAACAACTGCTATAAAGAACTTTTTAAAGGTTTCTGACTGAATGCTTCCAGGCTCTCCAAAGCATCCTTCAGAATGCAGTGGAAATTTAGTTTATACAAAGACAGAAGAGAAAAAGAGATAATGGAAAGAAGACAGGAAAACAACTCCAATCCATTAGATTGCACAGAAGAATCCTGCTTGAAAGCCAAACAGGTCTCTGAAAGGATATACTCCTGCTTTGTGCTGCAAAAGAACAGAAGGAACTACTTACTTATTTAGAAATATCTTACTTATTTAGAAATATCACTCGGCAATTGTAGCGAACATTTCTGTGCATAAGGGGCCTGCAAAAGTAAGGAGAAAAATTACCAGTGGCTAAGCTCATTAGATTAAATTTTCAAAGAAAAGATAAAAACAACAAAGAACTTCACTACAGAATCTACTCCACTACACAAGAACTGTTAATATAAAACTTCTACATTAGATCACTAGAAGGAATTAAATATAACAATGTATGAAGTTTTAACTTCTAAAGTTTGCAAAAGTCTTATTTACTGGCCCTTTTTTCAGTTGCAGATATACCCTCTGGCTACCAGACCACCGGCACACCTGAGAAACACAGACCACGACCATGCTATTGGCTGGCCTAGCTTAACCAAGCTTGACTCTCCCCGGTACTCCTAAGCTACTTCAAAGTGAGGAAAAGGTAGCCTTATTTGCTTATTTACGATACCAACACACACATACATATATACATTAACTTTATAATTAGTTTATCACAACTTGCTCTTGGCACCTGACTAACAATGACTTCAGTGATCATGGCATACATGTACATTGCCTGTAAAGGTATCTGCCACTTACAGCAAGCTACGTGAGCTGTAGAATTCCTGAAGACAGTCAATTTATAGAATCCTTCGTTTTGCACACAATCCAAGGCCTAACCCAAAAGCTTACCCATGGGAGTGAGTCCCAGTAATGTAGATTCTCAAGAAATACTTATTCCACTCTCTCAAAGGGCCTCGCTACCAAATCTCACTCTCCTATCTTCCAGAAAAAGAAAAGCCTGAAATTTCTTCTATTTAACATCTTCATTACCAATCTTGATGAGAGGATTGAGTGCACCCCCAGTTAAGTTTGCAGGTGACACCAAGTTGGGAAGGAGTGTTGATCTGCCTGAAGGGAGAAAGGCACTACAGAAGGACCTGGATAGACCAGATTGATGGGACAAGGTAAACAGCATGAGTTCCAATAGGGCCAAGTGTCAGGTCCTGCATTTTGGCCACAACAACCGCAGGCAACCCTACAGCCTTGGGGAAGGAGTGGCTGGAAAGCTGCCGGATGGAAAGGGACCTTGGTGTACTGATGGACAGTCAGCTGAACATGGGCCAGCAACGTGCCCAGGTGGGCAAGAAGGCCAATGGCATCCTGGCTTGTATCAGGAATGGTGCAGTGGGCTGGACTAGGGAAGTAATCCTTCCCCTATACTCAGCACTGGTGCGGCCTCACCTTGAGTTTTGGGCACATCAGTACAGAAAGGTCATTGAGGTGCTGGAGCAGGTCCAAAGAAGGGCAGCAAGGCTTGTTAAGGGCTTGAAGAATACACTCTATGAGGAGAGACTGAAAGAATTGGGGCTATTTAGTCTGGGGAAAAGAAGGCTGAGGGGAGACCTTATTGCTCTCTTCAAATACCTGAAAGGTGATTGCAGCGAGAGCAGTTTGATCTCTTCTCACTGGTGACAGGACGAAGGAAAATGGCCTCAGGTTGTGCCAGGATAAGTTTAAGTTGAGTATCAGGAAAATTTTCTTTACAGAAAGGGTTGTTAAGCACTGGGATAGGCTCCCCAGGGAGGTGGTTGAGTCATCATCCCTGGATGTGTTTAAAAGCAGTTTGGATGTGATGCTCAAGGACATGATTTAGCAGAGGGTTGTTAAGAGTTAGGGTAGCATGGTTAGGTTGTGGTTGGACTCAATAATCTTTAAGGTCTTTTCCAATCCGAGAAATTAAACAATTCTGTGATTCTAAAGGACTGTCTTCTAGAAATCCTTTTGTATGTTACAATCATTCTTATGGAGAGCAGAGCGGGAAGTACGGTAATTCCTAAGATGTATTTCAAGTTTGGGGCAAAGCCCTGAGTACCCAGAAGCATCTGCTCATGCTCTCAGAAGGCTTGCCCCTCCATCCTAGCTACAGCTATGCACTTAACACTTACATTCCCACATCACAAATAATATCCTGAGTAGCTGGAGACTCCAAAAGCTTTGCCAGCACTTGAAAAGAATGCAGGAGTGTATCAGACTCATAGTAGTGATCTGCACAGCCATAACCACTGCATAAAAAGGAAAAGAAAGTCAAGATTTGGGCTGTATCAGCACCATGGTCATTGGATTAAAACTTCTTCAGAGAAGAAACATCTCACAGTGCATACAACTCATTGCAGATAATAATCCAATGGCCCTTACCAAATTTCGAGCTCTGGACCGAGCCTGTATCTAGCTCCTTTGCTCTTAGCGATGCTAATACCTGGAAAACAATTAGCTTAAGCAGCAACGCGGATACAAGGCCCAGGCCCACTCAGACCCGCCGCCTCCGCCCCGCTTACTTCGCAGGATCCTCTCGGCGTTGCCCTCAAAATCCAGAGCCCACTGGTTGAGAGCACAGGCGGCCACGCTCACCACCCGACCCATGACAGCTCCACACCGCCGAGCCGAGGCAGCGCGCACTTCCGGGGCGGGCAGGCGGGACGGGGTGGGGCGGGCAGGCGGGACGGGGTGGGGCGGGCAGGCGGGACGGGGTGGGGCGGGCAGGCGGGACGGGGAGCGGGCGGGCAGGCGGGACGGGGAGCGGGCGGGCAGAAGGACAGCACCACCCACCTCACGGGCCGCTCACGTTCTCGCCTTCAGAGCCACCCCACCGCCCCCGCCCATGGGTTGAGCGCGCTCCACCAATGAGGCAGAGTGGGGCGAAACGGAGCGCGGAGCGGATTGGCTGGAGCGACAGTCAAGTGCGGGGAGAGCGCGGCGCGGATTGGTCGAAGGGACGACGAGGGTTAAGACCAAGGGGCAGCAGTCTGGGGAGAGGAGGTGTGGATGTTGCTTTGGGAGTGGTGGGAATTGCTGGCAGGTAGCGTGGAGGTTGTATGGGTAATCAAAGTACAAACTGAGATAAGCGGATCGGCAGACAGAACTGATAGCCAGGCAGCACAGGGTGAGGGGTGGAGTTAGGACAGAACGTAAGGAATTAGGAAATTTCCTGCGCTTTTTATTCTCATCTTTGCTTCTCCATTCTTTGTAATTGAAGGCTGTATAAGAGTTTTTAGCAGCCTGTGCAGCTGCTAGCTGGAATAATGCTGAATGTTTTCTTTCACACAGGACACCATGGCAGCCCATCGGGAGAAAAAATCTGAAGAAGGAAATCACAGAAGTGCCCGAAATGGTGCTCACACTCCTCAGGCGCAATGGGGAAGAGCATGGTGAGAGAAACTCAATTGTTATTGTATTTCATGTTGGTTCTTTCTGTTATGGATGTCATGTTGCTTTTGAACTGCACGCTGTTATTAAAAGATAGGTGCAGTGCTAATGATAATGAGCTGTAGTATCAGTTGCTAAGAAAGAGTTCCTCAAGGTTTCTAAATGTGGAAATTGTCAGACGGCTTGAGTTGTGACAGCCCTTCTTGCAAAAAAGGGAAAACACACTGTATAAATGGGTGATAATTTGTAGTTTCTTCAAAGATTGAACAAAATATTTGCTGCCTTTTGGAAAACAAACCGCTATCTGTGCTATTGCCACATGCTGCTGAAAGACTTAAGAGCCATGTTGTCAAAGTGTAGTGCAAATGTTATTAGAATGTTAATACAGTGCAGCTGGAAACAGCTATGGCTGTTTATATGGCTTTATATGTCTTCCGTGGACATTGGTGCTGCAGCACATTCAGCTTCTGGCTGTCGAAGGGCTGTCTTGTCTGAGTTTTGAAGCTTTGCAGAATGTTCCTGTGATTCTGTTACCGCTTCCAACTGAACCCTCTACCAGTTATACCTGTGACTGTCATTAAACAAACTAACAACAACAACAAAAAACCTGACTTAATGAGAACTATTAACCAGAAAGCTGGAGGGGAAAAAAAAAAAGTTCTGTTCTTGGTTACAGGGAGGTAGACTGGTTTTCCTTGGCAAGCATTCTTTTCCTACTTGCATTTGCACCACTTATCGTGTATTACTTCATCATGTCCTGCGACCAGTACCAGTGCTCTCTGACTGATCCACTCATCAACTTGCTCATGGGGAATAAACATCTGTCTGACATCTGGAGCAAGACTCCTTCACTGACTTATACGGCTGCTGGCATCTACACTGCTTGGGTTGCTTTCCAGGTGTGTTAATGAATTATGATCTAGTGGCTGTTGTTAGAAGCAGCTCTTTCCTTAATTTACATGGAAGATAATACAAGGTCATGCTGTCTTTCTACTTCTTCTTCTGTTTATCACTTTCTGTGTCTTCTTGGAATCCAAACAAACTTTGCACACTTGAAAAACAAATGTATAGGACATTGGTGTCAGAAGAGTACACTACTGTCTTTTGATGGGTCACGTTGCTTGTAGAGCTATAAGTCACGATACCAAATAAAGTAGGAGCATGTATGTGTGTGCAAGCATGCATCTACTCTTCAGAAGAAACAAGAATAGAACTGATTGGAATCCTATGAGTTCTTAAGGTAATTGAAAAATAATCTGCCAGATGAAAATGTCAAGAATTACTGGGGGATTATTTGGATCTTAAATGTTCGGGATACCAGTTCTGCTTTACCTCTGAGAGAAGGTTGCCCAACAATTGCTGTTCTTTCTGTCAAGTCTCATGTAAGACCACACTAACTCATTGTGTCCAGCAGTGAGCCAGAGAATAATGCTGCCAGATGAATCCCAGTATTGCTTGCTCCTGCAGATGCTCTATGATATAATTATTTTATATAAATATAAACTCAGCTACCTTGAATGAATTTTACAAGAGTCAGAGATGATGTGGTTTATTAAAATAAAGCAATCTTATAACAAAAATACTGATTTATTTAAATTAATACACAGTAAATATATCAAACTAGTTGTGGAAGGAGTGGAATTTTCTATAGGCAGACTTTAAAAGTGTACTTACTTGTGAATTACAACTTCTTTGAAAAAAAAATAAAAATAAAATCAAACTAAGCAAACTGCTGCCATTGTTCCAAATTGGAGGGTGACTTACTTATAAAAGGTAAAATTAAATGAGGAGCCAAATCTAGTTAGCAACTGTCCTCCTTGCCAAAAAAAGGGCCATAATCATATATGAAGTGCATCTTTAAAATTCTTTAGTAGCTGGCACATGTTTCTAGTCTAAAATCACAACAGCCACTCTTACAATATTTGTTGATTGAATTGAAACTGCTGTGTGTTATCTTCTGTTATGTGTATGAAACAGTGTCTGGAGATTTTCTCTTGTCCCTTTTTTACTGTTAATATGTCTGTCACTTCTAGGTGATTTTGTATGCGTTTGTTCCTGACTTCTGCCACAAGGTTCTTCCTGGATATGTAGGAGGTGTACAAGAAGGTGCTGTCACTCCTGCTGGTAAGCTTTTCCTTGGAGTATACTACAACCTACTCATATTCTTTCTGAATGACAGCCCCTCTGTACTTCATTTTTAATAATCTATTTCTATCTGGAGGAAACGTGGACAATGTTTTCACTCTCCATATGTTTATTTAAAGTAATCAAACAAATCACTCATTTTGTTTTAGAATAGATTGTAGAATTTCTGTCTCTTACTGCTAGTAAAACTGTTGGTTGTGCAATTAGGTGATTCATGCCTAAAGAAAATACGCAAGGCATTGTAGCAGCAGTGGAAAAATACAGATTGTGAGCAGCAAAATTACAGATCAACAGCAGACTATTGCTACTACTATTGCTACAGACTATTGCAGTCACAACCGTTTTAGCCAAGGTAACTTGCAAAATCTGAGCAAAGTGTGTGGTGTGAGCAAAGGGTAATGTGAAACCTTAGTAAATTTCAGGTGAGGTTGCAAATCCACCATTTTGTGAAGAGAGTTAAGAAAAAGCTTAGCCTAAGAGGTTCTAGCACAGTATAAATGAAACTCAGAAAAGCACCTTAAGGTTGGGAAGGTGACATTCAAGCCAGGTAAGGAGAGTTGCTCTTTTCATGAGCATGGGTGTTGAGCTTCTAGGTATTGTATGCGTGTCCATATCAATAACTGTACTAATGAGTTATCAGCAATATTGATATATCTCTTCTTCACTTTTTAGGTGTAGTAAATAAGTATGAAGTCAATGGACTCCAAGCTTGGATCATTACCCACATACTTTGGTTTGCAAATGCCTATTATTTCCACTACTTCTCACCTACCATCATTTTTGACAATTGGATTCCACTCCTGTGGTGTGCCAATATCCTGGGATATGTGGTTTCCACATTTGCAATGATTAAAGGCTACTTCTTCCCTACTAATGCCAAAGATTGGTACGTGTTTTCTAATAATACAAGAGTACAGGAAATCAGACATATGGCTAGGTCAGTGTACAACTGTGATTCTTTACTTAACAAAGACATGCAGCATGAAACACAGAGGATGGTGCATGTCAAGTAATTGTTGTGACCTCAGTGTCATGAATATATCTGTCCTGCATGTGTCCAAAAAGTAAGATTATACTTGGAGCGCTGAAAAGTGGTACCAAGTTTAAACTAAGATGACCCCGAATCTAAAATGGATCTTTTACTAATGAAATGCTTTTTGGATCAGTTTGTGTGACCTTACATAACGTGACATGGTTTTAGGATTTTTATCACTGCTACATCAAGCACCTTGGAAAATAATTTGAAATGTATTATTGGAATACTAAGCACTTTTATTTATAATAACTACATAAATTTCTAATCTTTTGTATTTTCAAGCAAATTCACTGGCAACTTCTTTTACGACTACATGATGGGGATTGAATTTAACCCTCGAATAGGGAAGTGGTTTGATTTCAAGTTGTTCTTCAATGGACGCCCTGGTATTGTAGCCTGGACTCTGATTAACCTTTCGTATGCTGCTAAACAGCAGGAGCTGTATGGTCACATAACCAACTCAATGATCCTTGTCAATGTCCTTCAGGTAAATTGAGAGGAGGAGATTAAAGATATCAATTTGAAAATAAACTAGTATTAAAGTAGGAAAAATACCTGCACTGAATTTGAACTTACACTGTTCTTCCTGGCCTGACCAATGTCATGCAGTGGCGATGTGCTGTGATTTGCTTCTTTGCACATTTTCATTCAGAAGGCTGCTGGGAATAATCCAATGTATGTGTTAGTACAGGGAGAATAGTTGTGTTACTTATTTTGGTTAACGCTGCTTTGCTTGCTTGTTACTGTTTTCGCTCTACAAACGTAGTATAGTTCTTCCTATATATGTTATGTTCCTCTTAATACTCTATCATTGAGGTGTTAAAAACACAGGTTAGTTTTGAGATCTTAACCACAAGACAGCACAGAAAGTTCAGGTCAATACTGTTAAATAGGATGCCAGTGTTATGTTATCACTGTAGGGAATCATAGAATCTCAAGGTTGGAAAGGACCTACAAGATCAGCTAGTCCAGCTGTCCACCTATTACCATTAGTACCACAAGCACTAAACCATGTCTGGATGAGGAGTTGCAAGATATCTCTTGAACACTGCCAGGGATAGCAACTCCACCACCTTCGTGGGCAGCCATTCCAGTGCCTGACCACTCTCTGAGAGAAAAAGCTTTTCCTTATATCTAACCTAAACCTCTTCTGGTACAACTTGTGGCCATTTCCTTGGGCCCTGCATGTTGCCTGGGAGAAGCCAAATCCTTCCTCATCATAACCTCCCTTCAGGAAGTTGTAGAGTGCAATGAGGTCTGCCCTGAGCCTCTTCTGCAGACTAAACAATCCCAGCTCCCTCAGCCACTCCTCATAAGACTTGTGCTCCAGACCCCTCACCAGTTTTGTTGCCCTTCTCTGGACATGTTTCAGGGCCTCAGTGTCTTGTAGTGAAGGAATGCAGAATCATTGTAGTGAGTGATGTAGAATCATTCTTTTTCAGGGTATTTATGTTTTGGACTATTTCTGGAATGAAGCTTGGTATTTGAAAACTATTGATATCTGCCATGATCATTTTGGATGGTACTTGGGCTGGGGAGACTGCGTTTGGTTGCCTTACCTCTACACTCTGCAGGTAAAGATAGGGTAAAACTTTTGGGCTAAAGGGAAAGAAGCTTTCCAGAAACGTTCTCTCTAGCAGATTGGTGTTTATCTTATTTTCTTTCCTTACAGCTTGAATACTGACTATTGCTACACTCTCTGCAATAATTCCATTGTAGGAGAGACTTCTGTCCCTGCATGGAATTAACATCTCTCTTCTTTTGTACCTCTTTCTGTCACTGTCTGTTGTTTCATCTGCGTATTTTTTGTCATTCCCTTCAGTCCCTTTCTGTACTCCTTTCTATTGGGTGGTCGTTTGACTGGTTTGTGTTTTCCTCCTCCTCCACCTCTCCCATTTGGTTGGCATCCTCAAAATTTCTCCCTTTTTCTTGTGTAACCTAAGAAATGCAGCAGTGGAAAGAAAGGAGATGTATGATGCAGGATTTCCTGGAAAAGATTTCACGTTATTACTGATAGGATGAATTTTTGTGCTCTTTCTAATACTCTGTCCTGGGTCACTGTAGATCAAAGAATTTGTCTCCACCCTGGGTGTGTTTTTGAAGTAAATCATTGAATGTCTCTGTTATCTCTCACAGGGTTTATATTTGGTTTACCACCCTGTGCAGCTCTGCACAGCTAATGCTGTTGGGATCTTGGCGTTGGGCTTGGTTGGCTATTATATCTTCAGAATGACAAACCACCAGAAAGATCTCTTCCGTCGTACCAATGGCAACTGCAAGATATGGGGCGAGAAGCCCGACTACATTGAGTGCTCCTACATGTCTGTGGATGGGACCAAGTACTACAGTAAACTGCTGACCTCGGGGTTCTGGGGGTGGGCACGCCATTTTAACTACACTGGAGATCTGATGGGCTCCCTGGCCTATTGTCTGACCTGTGGGTTTGAACATATCTTGCCTTACTTCTACATTATTTATATGACTATTCTGCTAACTCACCGTTGCATTAGGGATGAACACCGTTGTTATAGCAAATACGGGAAAGACTGGAAACGCTACACTGCTGC